ATAATTTATGTGTTTTATCACATCCCTTGGACTAAAGATCCATGAGATTGATATCTCTGTAATAATTTTTTTTTTGTTTCCCCCTCAGTGCCTAGCATAAGAAGTAGACAATCAGTAAATACTTATTGAATTAATCAATACTTACACTAAAGCAGTGACTAGAAAATATACTCATGCCCCTAGTTAGAATTTCCCTATCACATTCATAACAATTTTTGGATATAGATAAAATGAATCAGTAAATATAGTAAAATATAGCATAGAAGTTAAGTAATTAATTGATTAAACCATGTTTCAGACCTAATGCTAGGTGTTGGGGATACAAAGATTAATAAGCTATAAATCCAGCCTTATCCCAGGGGGAGATATACATATTAAATAAATAATTTTTGTGAAGTATGATATAAATAAGTATACATGGTATACTTGTGTTCAGAGATGGGGTGATTAATCTCTGAACACAAGTATACCATGTATTCTTATTTATATCATACTTCACAAAAACATGTCATACACAGAGACATGTTTGTCCTGTTGATTGGGTTGTATTCTCTAGAAAGATAGGCAAGAAAGGGCACTCTAGGCCAAAAGCATGTATAAAGATACTTAAGCATAAGAGTGTATGGAAGATGGTTGAGCACTGCTAGAATTTAACTTGTAAATAATGGGAGTGGCATACACAAAAGAGTAAGTGGGTCCAAAAAAATGAAAGGCTTTCGATGCCATTCTGAAGAGTTTGGTCTGTGGGTCATGAGAATCCATTGAAAGATTTCAACCGAGAAGTTAATTCAGTTATACTTGCATTTTAAGTACTTAATATGGATAGATTGGGGAAGAACTTCACTAAATATCCATTTACTGTAATCCAGAGATAATGAAGAGCTGCACTGGTAAAATGTAGAGATAGAGAAGAGAAGGGATTCAAGCAATATTTAGGAAATATAATGAATAGGACTTAGTACCCAGATGGATGTGATATGTAAGAGAAAAGAAGTAAGCTTCTCATAAAATTGAATTTGTTTTGGTTTTATCTAATTTGTTTTGGCGTATATCTAATTTAAAAAAAACAATTTTGAAAGAAATTTGAGCAGGAGAAACTAAGTATAGAGAGCTGTTATCACTTGCTTTGCTGTTTATGCTTGAGATCCAAGTTAATTATTGTTTAATGGTCTTATGATATTAGAAGGGGCAATGCATGTAAAGAAAATGCTTATCTAATTGAGGGAAATGCATTTTTTTAATAGATTTTTATGAAACCAGATTTTGCCTTGGATGATTCCTTAACTTTTAATTCAGTTTTACCATGGTCTCATTTTAATACTGCTGGTGGAAAAGGAAATCGTGATGCAGCTTCCTCAAAGTTGCTACAAGAAAAGGTATTTTCTTTTTTACTTTTTCCATTTAGAAAACTTTATCCTAGTTATGTGGTACTATTTGGCCTGGGTTCAGATTTAGTTTTTTAGTAAGCACTACTTCTTTTAATTTTATTGTTACTGGTAATTTATAAGCCATCAAATCTTAACTGATTTTTGATTCAATGGAATATAGGTTGTGCTGGTGAAAAAGGAAAAGTTTAGAGTGCTTCTTATCTGAGACAGCAAGTGATAGAATTTCAGTTGAAAAGATATATAAGAAAATATATGTAATTGTAATTGCTTTATATTTATCCCAAACAATATGTTGGCCAATTTTATATTCTTTATGATTTAAAGCACAGAAAATCAACTTTTCTTGAGGCACTATTTTTTTTTCTCATTTACATAGTAAGGGTGATTATTTTGAAGCAAAAATATCGTATCAATATACCTATTGTATTTTTAGCTTTGCAAAGCCTAGTCTTTTGTACGTTGTTAGTCAGCAATTTAAAAAGTTTTACCACGTTCTGTATTTCAGGAGTCAACATCTTGAATGTCATTTAAAATATAGAACTTTAAAAATATCTTCACTTGATCTTAGCCAAAAGGTTGAGAAACGATAGAACTTTAAAAATATCTTGACTCACATATCAAGACTTAAAATTTGAACAGGAAGTAAAGACCTTTGATTTCTGTTGGTCTTTTTTTTTTTTTTTTCCCCTCAGCACTCAGTTTAGAGTTTTTCTAAAACTGACTATGGTTCTTAAATTGCAAAAAAAAAAAAGCGTTTGTTTTAATCTAGTGACATCTCTTGTCAGTTTAAAGCTTGTCTCGGGAAGACTGTTCAACAAATTAGTTCCAATCCTCCACAGTAACTGAAGAAAGGACTAGGTTGGGGAGGATAGGAGAAGAAATAT